CGCTTCGGAATCGTACTTCAGGTATAATGTATTCGTGAATATTGACGAATTTCCATATATATATTGTCCGGACCAGCAGAATAGGCTCGGACATACCGTTGTTTTGGATGAACCTTACGTATTGTGTTTTTCGCCCAATTTGCCCATTGTTTTATCGCCCTAATCAATGGATGACGAAAATAAAACCACACGTTAAACAACGCAAACCGAGGGTCTGGCCCTCGAGCTAAATAAACACAGGTCGTTATTTACTGGACCATTTCACTTGCAAACCAGCCGACAACCATGCAGCGTGAACGATTGAGCGTCGCAATGCCGGAGTGCTTCCGGTGTCACATCACTGCCAAGGTAGGCAAGCCACTGGGCAAAAGTAGAACGAGCGTTGGTAAGCCAACCGAGCTCACAGTGGCCACATACAGATACTACTTTCGGGTCGTGTCTGCACTGGTCGTCGACACAGTCACGACTGCCGTCGCCAAATACCATGCTGACGCGTCGAACTCGAAGCTAGTGTGGGACCCAGAAGGTCCAAAGGAGGTGTATGTAAAGGTTGCGGCCAACACAACGCAAGACAAGTACATTAAACTGACGCTGCTCAACTACAACGACGTTGTGCGGCAAGTGTGGAACAATACAAGCAAGGTGCGCAATGCCCAAGTATCGTTCACATTGCTGCTGTTCATTTACATCGGTAAAATCTCCGTTTATGGGATAATTTCGCAATTTACTTTCCGATGAATAATGTATTGAAATTTGTGAAATAGAAAAGGATACCAGCACTGCGATTCGACGTGCAACTTCCAACAACCTGGTGACTGCGGCAGCCCGAGTTGCGGGTTATATTGAATACCAGAGTATTGTGCTGGGCCCACTGCAGACCGACTACGCAACCGTTGTGACGGCAAGGTTGCCTGCGACCGCCCCTGTGGAAATACCTGCGAACGCAACAATGCAACAACTCGGTCATATTGACCTCATGGCCTCTCGTCATGCAGACGAGCGCCGGCGCGAAATAAATGCCGAAGCCACAGATACATACCGTAGCAATTAAAAATAGGGGTTTCGCTCGTTAAGGGTTCGTGTCCGATTTGGCTCGATGTCTAGTGCCCCTGTGAATTGTTTTCTGCCCGTTGAAGATCTTCGCACTATCCTGGGAATCCTCCATTCGACTTGACGCCATCGTTTCGGGAACCCATTGTTGGCGACATAGTCCAACCAAGCGACAATATTGAGGACATTGACCACATGAATTTCTAGTAATGTCAAACAATTTGCGAAAAGTATAACTATTTGTTCAAACGAATTTACATTAAAAATGTATCTTGGTCCAAAGCAGAAGTATCGTATCCACAATGGCGATACAAATTATATCCTACTTGCTCGGTTTTTTGTGCATTCTACAAATGCCACATCTAATACAGCACGGACATTAAAGCGAAATGCCATGGGATACTTGTCAATCCAGCGTTTTGACAGGGTAAATCCCACCTCAATAGGATTAAGCTGCGGAGAATATGGTGGCAAAAAGAACAGCAGTGCACCTCGACTGTGAACTGAATCTTGCAGCTCCTTGTACATATGGATCTTCGCATTGTCCAAAATCAATATTAAACGCGGGAGCGGCCAAGGGTTTAAATACGGAAGAATCTTTGTGACCATGACCTCGTGAAAGGCAGCACGATCAAATGTTCCTAATCAAATCCAATTAATATAGTGGAACTACAAAAATATGTACCGTCCACATAATCCCACGCTAAAAATCCAGACGTAATAAATGCCGCTAACGCTGACACCCGCTGGTCAAGTGAGAATGGTTATTCTACAATTGCCTTTTTGTTGCGCTTCGACCACGCATACTTGCGAATTGAATCACGTCCATCCTTGGACGTCTCGTCGACAAAGACTAGCTGGTCGGGGTACGAGTAGTATGGGCTCAATCGCCTGTAGTAATAGGGCAGCTCAAAATCGGCGGACTCTCGAGCTCGTCGTTCTGAGACAAGGAACACACGAATAAATCCTCAAAATATATTTAAGACTTAAGTACCTTTTCGCGTCAATCTTAAGTCATGAATGAGAGCTCTACATATCGTTGCCGCGGATACATTCTTCAGTGTCGGAAATTGATGTCTCAGTGCGTATTGAAGCTCCTCGATATAGAAGCAGGGGTGCAATGTGGTGTAGTTGCTCACCCAGGCGTTGACCTCGGCTGGCCAGCGTGACCCCGTCGAACGCGACTTTAACTGTGTGACGTTGCCAGTAGATGTGAACATCGTGTTGAATCTTGTTACGCTACGTCTTGAGAGTCCAAGTATGACGCGAACGACCTCAACTTCAATGCCGTAGACTTGGACAAGCACAACACATCTCCAAAGCATGTCGATGCTGATCATTTTAAAACAACTTGTTTGCCCATTTCAAATGGGCAAACAAGTTGAATAAGATAAATCCGAGCTCATCCACCAATTCTTGACCAATCACATCATCATGAATATTAATTACTCAACGCTGAACCGTAAAAATGCCTCTGCTGTATCCGTAAAATTATGGATGGGTGCCGTAATTTTAGCAGAATTTTTTATTAAAGCATGGATTTAGGCCATGGCCAAAAAAGTTGAAAAGCACAATAATATATACTAGTATATGTTAATTAGAACGATTTGCCTTTCAGCAGCGGGCGACGACAGAGAATTCGCCCAGGAAATTGCGCACATCAGAGCGAAGCGGACGTCTTGTGTATAATTCCCTGCACGCGGTGCCTTGGCGAGGAGTGTACCCCAATCGTGCGTGTCACCGAAAGCCCAAGGAATCGCACTTTCACGAATATTCTCGATTACGTTCCTTAAGTGCAGTTTATGCTTGTCTTGTACTGATACTTAATATGAGGTATTTTCGGGACTATATTTTATTGCCAGTAATGGCAAAGATGGAGGGTTTCAAAATTTCTTCTCGACCACTCTTCACCGCAACTCTTTCATATCGTGTCGGTTTGCGCGCAATTTGAGCGCAAAATACTCGTCGCTTAGCGTATGTTGCTAGTACCAGTTCTAAAGGTTGCTAACAAAATTCTCTTTACCATTCTACGGGGGTACATTCATGCCAAAGGTCAAATTCGGTCGTGAACCCACCAAAGATCGGCGGCGTTCCAGCGCCTACTTGTTCTCAAGAAAGGCGAACGCGTAGACAATGGCGGCATGACAAGCCTCATAGCGAAATTCTTCATCAGCCAACAGACAGCGTCACGCAATTTGAATCGGTAAATGTAAAAGACACCATGCTTGAAGCTTGAACACTGTACACGATGGTAACGGGGGTACTTCATATCAT